ACTTGGAATCCAGACGACATGACTACCGCTCGAATTAAATAACGCATGTTCTGAGTACGTCCGCAATCATTTACTGTGCGTGGATAGGCACATCGTCATGGGAACACTGAACAAAGAAATCTGCAAAATACAATTTATGAGAAGCAGGGTCATTGCGTTTGATGCGAAAACTCAGCAAGGATGTAGCAATTACTAGATGTCTTCATTGGAGTGTGGAACTGACTCTATGGTTTGGAACCACCATGACATGAAGTCATGCTTTGCAGATTCTCAGAACAAATCCTCTGTGGCGCAATTGGCTAGCGCGTCTGACTGTTACACCAGTGGCTATCAGGAGGTTGGAAGTTCGAGCCTTCCCGGAGGAGGATGCTTTTTGTTTTGTTTACTTCCTCTTTTTTGCCGACTTTTGCGACTGATAAGTAGACGGAAGCTGCTTTCCATGTATTCAGAAGTACTGTTTTGCCACGACTACGTTCTCGAAACAATCAAAGAAAATCGAAGACTTTTAGAATATAGTCATATCAACGGCTTCTTTCGTCTTCGCCCGCATGTTCTCTATGAATCTGCACTATGCTGTCCTTATTGGCTTAATTTTCTTGTTCTCCAGCTTCTGACATATGGATTAGCATACTCTATTTCGATACTCTACACCATCACTAGAAAGAAGCAGCAAGACCTCAACCATAAACAGATGCCAACAACTTCGCAATTATGCCGGCACACGAACTACTCTACCTTGTTTTCATTCTTCGTGTACACAGCACATACAGCATCCTTCTCCACCTTTTTGTCGCATAAGGCGGGTGTGGCAGTGATTGTAAAAGTGTGAGGAGCATGGAGTCGATAAGAACAGCTATTAATTGATTCGTCGACACGTAAAATCAAATAGAGAATACATAGAAAGAAAGGCATAAACTCCGCGGAATCGATAAAGGGTATATTTCGTTGGAAGAAGAGCCCACATGCATGCTCAGCTTCCACTCATCTTCCAGAAATGGAGAGCGACAGCGCATACAGAGCTCATTTTCCTTTTTCTTAGATGAAGGGAACAAAGGGCTAGGAAATATAACTGCGTGCTGCTTTTCTTTCAAACCCAGGCAGACGTATTTACTCTTGTTGACATCTTCTAGAAAAACAAAGTAAAAAAGGTGTCTTCCTGAACCCTGCTGTGGATATGATCGTATACTACAACGTGCCCACAAATTACCAAAATGGCATCATTTAGGACAAGAAGAGAAGACTAAAATGTTGTTAACTGTGGTATGTTTTGGTCTAAAGAAGGACGAAGTCACATGGCCGACTTGGAAGCTTTCGAAACGAGAAAGCAGAATAAGAATGTCTTCTGTCACGTTCGCACTTGATGAGCTCATAATTGATGACACATTGATTCTGGTCTAGCAATACTGACTTTAGATTAACAGCGCAATGGGAATTTACACATGATAAATGGTATATTCGGTTTTAGACAAGACGAAGACGCGACATTGTCGTAGCGTATGATACTTCCTTGAGTTGAAAGTAGAGAGTGGATACACATGCTAAGCTAAGGCTCTCTTCTGGTGAGTATTCGAGTGAAAAAGTGTTGTCTCTCACTCCTGTCGTTGAGGCGTTCATGTATGACTTCACGCTAATAGCATCTCAATGTCAATGACGCCTAATGAACAACATAGCGAAAACACTAGCTATGGTACGTTTCTGTTTATGTTTCTATTCCCATCTGATTGGCTACCACATGAAGCATGATTTACTTTATTGGTATTTTGAGGATGACAGGATTTAGAAGTAGTCATAGGCGTGATCCTGAAGAGAAGCCGGGCTGGGTTTCCTGCAACCATACTACGACACTACATATCCCTGGTTGTCAAAGCAGTCTTTGACAAACAACAAATGATCTGATTTTGTTATAATTATTGAACGACCCTATGCATAATTTAGAGAGATGAACAGTTGTAATTGTGTTGATAAAAGCAAAGTAGGAGGATGCTGGTGAATATGTGCATCCGAAAATTTGAGATTCAAAGTTTACACACTGGACAGGCGTACAATGTTACGGGGCCAAGTTTCCGGGAGCACATCCATCCATTGCTAGAGCATTCCGAAGAGTTGCTCAAGCCATATAGAAACCAGTACTAGAAGTAACTTACACTCCTGACAAGGCACTACGCTATTTGTTGCCATACAAAATGCGGAACACATCCTTCTCAATGCCTTTGAGCTCTGCGGTTGACGCGCTGTGCGAACACGAAGCGTGTAACTGCCGGAAGCATCTCGTTGCCAACAAAAAAAAAGCCCCCTTTGCAAATGTCGCAATGTGGCGACGTGGGTACAACAAGTAATTTCCCGACGCACGTCTACTCTGCCCTGCAGCACTGGGGACTACAACAGCTAGGCTATGTGCCTGGTGGCTGATACGCCCACATGTTATAGCTGATAGCTTACGAACATGAATCGCCAGAGACGCATGCCACTTTGTAGCTGGCCGTGGATGTCATATTCGCACTATTTTCTGTGCAACATGTAGGGAGCATAAGCATGGCATTATTGTTCCTCAACAATCCGCTATCAGCACGTCGTAGTCGCTTGCCAGATGTTGGGAAGGTCGGACGGGCAAGCCAAAGTAGAACAGTATCGTTGAATCGAAGCAATAGTCGTTTCGTAGTAATCATGCGCAGCAGAACAAGAATGCTGAATGGCTACCAGTGTGCTGGGTAAATGTGAGGTGGCATTTTCTAAATGGGTGGATTGTGTTGACACGCCACAATAGTGCAAGGTCCCACAATCCCTTGTGTAGCCAGATGTTCGAGAAGCTGTAAAGGCTTGCATTTCTCAAGTTTCGTAATGCTGTCACGTTGAGATTACGAGTCGGTCTGGTACAAGTTTGACTCGACAAAAAAGGATGTGCAGCCTGAATAATTGTGCCCTTGCATTACGTGTGGTATGCAGCCTCATACGCTCGGCAGGACGCGTTCCGTCCCTGTCGCGCATGTGGAAAAAGTGCCGTTTCATTGTTACGGGCAGCTGTGCAGGCTTGTGCAAAAAGCCGCATCGCGAGATGTCAGAGGTGGCTGCAGAATCGAAGGCGTCCAATGTAGCCACCCTCGCTGCTACTTCGGCGTTCATGTACGATGGAGGAGCTGATGTGCTCCCAGAACCAGGGAGACGAGCCGGTCGTCTCCCGCCTTTAGGGTCCTCGGCTGCGCAATCATTGGTGGTGATCTGGTTGCTGGATCGAGGCGTTCCGGTGGCTAAAGAATGCGAGAGTGATGACTTCAGCTTATCGCGAAAGCAGGTGCGTACCCCGGAAACAGCGCACGCATAATGCTAGGGCATATCGACATCGCTGGGACAGAGTATCGAAGTAGGTGGAGCAGTGCTGAGGCAGCGCTAGACACGATGGTAGCTACTGCGTGCTCTACATTGCTTGATTTCAATGCGAACGGACCTGTTTGAAGATGATTTATGAAACTGTAAGCGCCATTGCCCAAGTAGGGTCTAGCAGCAAGTATTGGAGATATGGCAACTATATTCCGATATTATATGATCGTCGTCAATGTTCAATAGCCGGGCGCCATGATGCGCAGCAAGGTCTTAATGTCCTTGTGATAAGATATGATCAGCTAGACTCGCTTGTTAGCGATGATTGTGGCGCCTGTCGATCCGGTTTTCTGTTCCCGTAGCTCCAGGTCAGATCTTGCTTTTGACAGCCGCGAAAGCCTGGAGCCATGCATGAGACGCGAACATGGCGTCGCCAAGTCGCCGCACATGATCGCCATCACTCTCTCGGTCCAAGGCGTCGAATGGTAATCAGCCGCGGCGGATTCTCGCATCTGTCAATGTACGAGGCTGCGATGGCGTCTGCGGGTGGAGTCGAGATCGGTATCGTGAGGCGAGAAGGAACGAATATCCCTGTTGACAAGCATGACAAGGGAGGCACCACTGAACCTTGGAAGAGTGACTCAACAACGCCTGATCCTTCAGAACATCACTTCAGTTTACCTCGGGTACAAGGATGTTTGCAATGAAGCATGTAATTCTAGTACAAATTCAATCCTATACTACAGTTGCTGCCCAACCACGTCGATGCAGCAGACCCAGGAACCCGACCACGCATGACAGCTGGCGTTCGCGCCCTACCTTCTCAGGCTCACAGAACTATATCGTTGCCGCCCAATACCGAGAAGAGATACTTGGTTTGATCGAGGTTTCTAGTTCCTGCGTTGCGTTTTCACCGGAAGCTGCGAGGGCGCAAGGGTGATCCGGTGTATCCACATGCATTCGTCTCGGCTCTATCGATTGTGTTCCACCTCATTAACCCGTGCGTCATCATATACCCCAAGAAATACCCCAAGCGCCCGCGCCGGATCATCTTTTCCTGCACCAAAACCCAACAGCGAAAGCAAGCATGTCCAAATGCTCGTAGATGCATCTATCCATGTCGTGAACATGAACCATGCGTGCCATTGCGTTCATTCCATAAGATCTCCCCACCTTTTTCCAAATGCGGATATGAGAGAAAAACCGAGCAAAACCAAAAGGCTACAAAAGAAACGTAATGACGTGACAGAAATGCTGAACAGAGAGAACCGTGGATGCAAGTGTTTGACATAAAGGAAAACCGATGCAGATTGACTTCCACAGCAAGCGGCTGATACCTTGACCCTCTCCATGACTGCCAAAAGAAACCAATGTAAGAATACGCCCCATGAACGATATATGTACAAAAAGAAGCAATTCTTGTCGTGATGACTACGCTCCAGTGAGCGCACGGTGCGGATGCAAGCGTGTGCGGGGACGACGTGTAGCAAGCCTCTCGAGATGAGTGTCAATGCACCGCCTCGATGGCGCTCGGGAGCGGCACTGCGATACGCCATCAATCAGATCACCGTAACTTGAGATTGCTAAGATCACCGCCGGCGCGCGGTAGACGTAGGTCGTTGTACTGAGGGACCAGCGCCGACTTCTTCGAGGAGGTCCATGCAGGAAGTCAACACTGCGCAACGTTAGCAGGGTGCTTGGAGAGCAGACACGATGTGGTACTGACTCGCTACGATTTCCTCTTCCCATACACCCATTTGGTAGTCGACAAGACCGTGCTTCTCCATGGCGTCGCAATTCTTGACGAGTTGGGTGCCCATCTTCTCAAGAAACTCATAGTCGATCAACGATTTTGGCGGTTGTGGTCGCTGGCCCGTTGTGGTCATTTCCTGCGTCATGGTCTTCTGCTTTTGCAGTGTAGTGAGCCAGCAGGTGTTGAATTCTTCCCACAACTGCAGACGCTGCTGGTAGTAGGTTTCGTCGTCGCGTACTAGGCCTGCTGCGGTCAACTCAGCTGCTCGCTCGATACTGTGGGCACCAGAGAACTTACCCAGCGTCTCAGCCCAGTGCAATAGCCAGTCGGACATTCTAAAGAGCAGTGTTCCGGCTTCGCTAAGGCGGCCGTCACGTACATGCTCAAATGTCTTCTTGAGCTCGTTCTGGTAGTTTCTGTAGAAGTCGTCGTACTCATTGCCACTGTTTGGCTGGGGCTCGCTGTAGTTGCCCTGGGAGTAGGCCCCTTGAGAGGGCGCCTGATGGGGGTCCGTCATGCCAGCGGCAGAGTAGGCGGGCGCAAGTGCTTCTCGGCCGACCTGGGCTTGCGGTGCTGAATAACCTAACGAAGGATACTGAGAAGGAACGTTTTGCGCCGCGATGGCAGAGGTAGGTGCGCTCGTGGGCCCACTCTCATAGTACTGCGGTTGTGCCACGCCAAAGCCGGTGCTCAGGACCTGTATAGCCGAGTCCCTATTCTGCTGGTATTGTTCCACAGGCTCATACTGCGACGAGGCTTGCGCCGAAGCCTGGGCGCCGGGCACGCTGTACATTATGTTCTGGCCGTAGGGCGAGTACTGCTGGGGTGCACGCTGAGCCTGTTGTTGCTGTTCGGCAGCATAGTCCTGGGTGGCATAGGCTACGGGGGATGCTTGAATCGATGAGCCAAACTGTGCACCTTCACCGTAAGCGTAACCGTAACCCTGAGAGCTGGCGCGACTTCCGGAAGAGGGGACGGAGGTAGGTGGGGCAGGAGCTGTCAAGGGCGGCTGCCTGAAGCGATCGGGTGCGCTTACCACTGGATACGACGCCTGTGGTGGAAGGAGCGTGCCTTGCTGGCTCGCGTAACCTGAGGGAGTATGCCGTGGCCGGCGGTCATTGTCCATCCCAACCAGCCCGCCTTTATACTGCAGACTGAAGGGCGGTTCGAGTGCCCGGTACCCCAAGGGCGAGACTGGCGGCGTCGCGTAATTGGCCAGCTTGCAGGCTTGCGGGATGTAGGTGATGGAGGGCCGGCGCAAGAGGTAGAGAAGCGAGGGCGCAAGTGTCGTCGAGGTATGCGCGGACTGATGGAGAGGTGCGTAAGAGATGCGTCTTTTGGCGGGATGCGTGGAAGGACCAGAAAGAGTTGATGGTTGATGTGGGCCAATGGTGGTAGATGTATGACGTCCGAAATTGGAAGAAGAGATGCTCCAAGGTCCAGATGGTTTGGATATAAACACAGCCCTGACGCGTCGACGAGCGGCCAATGGAGCCCAATGATGCAGGAAAAGAAGCTCGCGCAAGAGCCTCGGCCGGCCACCAGGATATCCTCGCTTTAGCTGCAGGAAGATGACTGCAATGCAATGCTCTGAGGTCCGGGATTGGTCCTCCCGATGCGGCAATGTTGGAGAAAATGTGTGCGTAGTGTGGATCAGCTAAACACGTAGCCACTAGATGACAGCGAAATTGTCCGGTAACTGCAGGCGTGGAGAACCCTGTGAGCGATGGGCTGGTGGTGAGGCGACGCTTATGCGTGAGATGTTTGAAGGGTAGTCCTTGCAAACAGATCAGTGTTCCAACGAGTCGGACGGAGTAGAGGCCGGGCTAGGAGATGGTCTCAAACAATCTAACGTCTGCGTTGCGGTAGCTCAACGGCCTAAACGTACGCTGGCGTTCTTCACGATACAGTGTCTTGGAGCGCACTGGGCGAGCGGGAGTACATGCAGAGACGAATGAAGCGTTCGGTCCGAGACCAGACAGAAAGTGCGACGGATGGTAAATTTGTAATCGCATGCACTTGCCCACGGGTAGAGAAGACAGAAAGGCTCTATTATAAGAGTCGAGAGGAGAGGAGCAATGGCGCCCGTGTGAGCTCGACGTCAGTTCACTTCTGCCGAAGATGCTCACCAGGGTGCATGTGGGGGTGGTGTGGTCGGCGATGCGATGGCAGCCAGGCTGGATGAGGGCAGGAGGAGAGGTGGGCGGGAAGTGATGCAGAAACGCTACATTGGGAGAGCATCGGGCAGTGTGGGAAGCAAAAAGGAAGTAGTTCACAAGCCACGCCGGCGAACAGACTGTAAATGCTTGGACCGGGGTGTTGAAGCTAGAGGAGAAAACAATGGTGGGTACCTGAGAAGTGGGTGTGGCTGCAGGTCGGGCGAGCGAGGGCTGACGAGTAAGACGACTCCATGAGCTCTGAATGACAGCGACCATGCGAAGTCTCCGATTTCCGATATGGCCAGGGCGGGGCTAGCGATACCCTGTCTGCCATGGTAACGGATCGCCCATGGTGGATCTGCAGGCGTCTGGGCAGCCACACTGCAGGGCATCGTCGCGTTTGCTCTGCGTGACCACCACTGGATGCAGCCGGGACGACGACAATGTCAGCGGCACAATGACAAAAGCCAGCAACTTCATCGTGGCCTCTCTTCCGTCTCTCCTCGGCGCAACCAGATGGCGTTTCCCGCGTCGCGGCTCCACAGCGGCCAAATGTCGCAGGTCGCAGGCCCAGGAACTCCTCCTCTCACCCAGCTGGTCTTGGCAGCAGGACAGTGACCACGCGACGCATGGCATTTGTCCGCCAGTACGCGTGAAGAGCTTGATGACAAAGGGGCCCGGCGCACTGTGGGAAGACTAACCTCGACGAGCGCGTTTCCGACCTGTTTCACGCAACAGGGCGTTGTTCGGTTCATGAAGCGCGCCTGCGTCGTCTCCTGCTGCCAAATCACCAAACCGATGTCGAACCTGGATAGCCTCATGGTCGGCAGTGTCTCGTGTAGGTAGGTGCTGACAGGTGTGAGAGAAAGTTTAGGGGCTATCTCGGGCTCCAAACTCGATCTGTCCTTTCATCTCTGCAACGATGCAAGTTCCCGTCCACGGGCAGGGGTCTCTCGCCTGTGGTCGATCTTGCCTTAGGCCACTTCACCCATCAGCCTCACTCGTCGATCCTGATCCTGCGAATAGGGACCTTCCCTTTCAGAATCATCGACTGGCGCAACCCATCCATACTCAAGCCGCGACCTCGCGATATCTTCTCCACGCTGCGACTCCTCGAATCTTACGTCTGCGGTACAGTGGGGCTAGCGCCATCTCGGTCGCTCCTGCCGGCAAACCTCACTGGTTCTTGCCGTGAACCTTCCGTCATCTCCTCAACACGGCACACTGCAAAACACTGACCACCGCCCGTTTATTCCAGGCTAAGAGGGCGCCTTACACTGTCACTGACACTTGAATTGCACGCTCTGGCGCGCCACACGCCACACGCCTCGCGCGCTCCTGTGCCCGGACCGTCTCACCATGAATGTTTGTCCACGTGCCTTCGGAAGATTGCAGCCTTCTGGAAGCTCAGCGAAGGTGCACAGCATGGCTTTGCAGGACACAGCCATCGCGTCACGAAACCATTGTCGTTCAACTTGCCCACTTTCGTGCGATCACAGCCCAGACGAGTGCGTCATTCGGCACGGATGGCGATCATCAAGTGGCCCTGGCTGCCGCATCAACCTCCACCACCGCGCTTCGTGAAATGATCAAGGACCATGGCGAACATGCTTCGAGAAGGTTTCACTTTGTTCGACAAACGCTTGACTCGTTCCCAGCTGCAACCACCAGGGAAAGTCTCGGGCAAGTGCCGTGGTGCACCGTTTGTGCGTCTCGCGGGACACGCGACAAGGAGGTCAAACAAGGAGCTCCCATCACCAACGGATATCCAAACGGCAGCCTTCTTTCTAGCGTAAATCTCCTCATATATGCCTTCAGCTACGTAACGTTTTTCTGCGACATGATCCGGAGCGACCGAGACGCAAATGCGAGCGGACATAGCACAGACGCTCAGGTTAAAAGATCATTGGCCGCCCTATGACCACGTCTAAAATAGAACATCTTGAAACGAGTCAGGGAGGATCTTCACACCTCTTCGCTCGCTATCTTCCGGCCATCCCATCACTTTGGTTCCATGTGCCACCGGCAATCATGACTGGAGTGACTTTCTGTCGCTGTTACAGGACTTGCAATGCAAATCTTGACCGTCTTAAGGCACTTGTCGAAAAGCAGTCATAAACGCGAGTCCGAGTCCGAGCGCAAACACAAGCAAATCAACAATATCTCAAAGATCGCATCAATACTAAGTGCTGGTGGTGGCGCAGCCATTCATGCAATGAATATTCTCTTCATCTTAGTTAGACAGCTGTCAGAAGCTGCCAGGAACGGACCGAGAGAGCAATAACAACCAGCAGCGCGGGCAAGGTTGTGCCAGGATGCTTGCTTGAGATGATACTGAACCGGGACAGAAGCACTGTGAGCAGGGCAGACCAGCACAAGGTTCAAGGCCTTACGCGTCCTGGAGTCAAGGACACAATTGATCGAGAGGCATTGCCCTGTACGGGTAACGCCGCCAGAGATGAGGATCGTATACGCACATGGCTGTCTAGGTTTGCGACGTTGACATTCAGGGCAAGATCTGGGCATCTTTCCACGTGTTGTGCCTGTAGCACCCTGTTCCATGCACACCGGCACGGAGCATCAAAAGCGCTTTTAATGCGGACAGTGTAAGGCCGACACCACATGCGCAGAGATGGACGACGAGATCAAAGAAAACCCTAGAAGTCGCTTCTTGAAATGTCTCATCGTACATTCACCTATGCTAAATCTGCATATGACCAGCGATACAAGCACAAAACATACAGAAGTAGCCTCTTATCGCTTGACCCAGGTGGGCATCTTACGTGCCTTGACGTGGCCTGGCTTCTTCCTCTCCACCTTCCTTGGATCGCGTGTTATGGTTCCAGCTAAGAAGCAGTCAGCAATTGGGTCCGGCATGCGCAGGCGAGACATGTTTGGGATCATCCAGGGTTATTTGGCAGCGTTTTGAGGCGTGGATAGACAAGGGCATGTGTCAGACACAAGGGCTGCATTGACAATGCCTACGGAACGACAGAAAAAGCAAAGCTGGGTTAAAAAAACCCACGGACAAAGAAAATATTGACTTACCTCGTCGTAGCGCCGGCTTCAGCGCTGGCTCATGTACCAGCAAAGATTTCGCTACGGCCAGGGTCATTGCTTCCGCCTGACCAGTCAGGCCACCACCCTGCACCAAAGCAAAGACGTTGTACTTGTCAAGACGCTGGGTAGCCTTGAGTGCCCACACAGCGCTCTCGCGGTGATGTAGCCTTCCAAAGAACTCCGAGAGGGACTTGCCGTTGACCAGTACCTCACCTTCACCCTCTACCAACCATGCCACAGCAGAAGATGTCTTTCTCCGCCCGACACCCTTGGCACGTCCAAGCTCATCAATCACGCCAGGCTTCGGGACAATGTCACCAGGCTGGTTAGGCTTCTTGTACCGTAACATTGCCTGTACAACCTCATCGGGCATGAGGGAGGGGTGAATGCAGTTCAGTCTCCGCAATATTTGCAACATCCTGTGATAACGCGCCGTCTTTACTGGTTCGTTGGTCATGATGCGGTACTGCTCGATTGTCTTCCACGCCACTTTGGGTGCTTCGGCGGGCGGTATGACGGGTAGTGTAGCGACCTTTCGAAGGAGAGCAGAGAGGGAGAGGAAGTCGTCGGTGAACGTAGGCTTTGCGCTGAAGTAGGAGGGCGATGCTGGGACAACACGCAGTGCCCCGAGGTTGATCTTTTTGTCGCTCTTTCCTGCGCCACCGCCGGTGCTCTCAAAGTCGATCTCGGGTGCCGCTGTGAATGGCTCACGTAGCTCTTCCTCTGTGACCTCTGCACGCCGCGCGGTCGTTGTCGAGATGCATCGCCGCGTTGTGGGCTGAAAGCTCCGCTGAGCATATCGAATCGTCCGTTCGCATTGAGGTCGTGGTCGGCTTCCCAGGGCATCGACCGCCCTCCATAGACTCCGTGAGATCTCCCTGCTTGCCATTGCACCTCTGATGGATGGGGAATGCGCCGTGGTAGCGCTCTCAAAGGACTGCCACCTGCCGTAAACTGACGACGAGCGCTGCACGAGCCACATGCAAATGCTTAGCGCCTAGGCTGAAATTATGGTGGACTGTGCACAGCAGATTTCCTACTGCCCCGCAGCCCAACCAGCCTTTTTTCTTCATCAACACCTGCTTCCACACACTGATTGTTCTGCTCAACCACGGTTAACTCTACAATCATGTCTTTCGGAAAGCTCTACAGCTACTCGGTACGTTGCCGCATCCACAAACGCGAAACTGCACTGCAATGAGTCCTAACAGCGAGCCAACAGGGTAACCCGCGTACCACCTCTCTCCTGGCCGTCGCGAAGGAGAATGGTCTCGACATCGAGTTCGTCGACACCGAGCCTGCCAAGGGTGTCTCTGAGGACTACCTGAAGCTCAACAAGCTCGGCAAGGTCCCTACATTCGAGGGCGCTGACGGCTTTGTCCTCTCTGAGTGCATCGCCATCGCTGTCTACCGTAAGTGCTACCCCGCCTGTTTGCTCCTTCCTGCGTAACATGATGTCGAATGTTATCATTCAGTTATCCCTGTCTGAAAACTATTGTTGAAAACTTACTATTCTGATTTGCGTCCACAATCATCCCTCCGTTCGTCCAGACTTTGCTGGTGACTCAGAGCTGACCGATTGCAGTTGCCTCCCAGAACGAGAAGACCAGCCTTCTCGGCAAGACCAAGCAGGACTACGCCACCATCCTGCGATGGATGTCCTTCGCCAACACTGAGGTCCTCTCTCCTCTCGGTGGCTGGTTCCGCCCCATCCTCGGCCGCGACCCTTACAACAAGAAGAACGTCGACGAGTCACAGAAGGCCGCTCTCAAGGCTGTCCACGTCATTGAGGAGCACCTTCTTACACACACCTACCTTGTTGGTGAGCGTCTGACTCTTGCCGACATCTTCGCTGCCAGCATCCTTGCCCGTGGCTTCCAGTACTTCTTCGACAAGCAGTGGCGCGACTCTAACCCCAACACTACCCGTTGGTACGAGACCGTCTACAACCAGTCCAGCTACTCTGCTGTTGCCCCCAAGCTTGAGTTCATCTCCGAGGCGTTGAAGAACGTTGCACCAAAGAAGGAGGGTGGCGAGAAGAAGAAGGAGCAGCCCAAGGCCGCCCCTAAGCCCAAGCAAGAGGAGGCTGAGGAGGAGGACGAGGCCCCACCTGCCCCCAAGCCCAAGCACCCTCTCGAGGCCCTTCCCAGGGCTACATTCGTTCTTGACGACTGGAAGCGCAAGTACTCTAACGAGGAGACTCGTGAGGTTGCCCTCCCCTGGTTCTGGGAGAACGCCAACTTCGAGGAGTACTCCATCTACAAGGTTGACTACAAGTACAACGATGAGTTGACCATGACCTTCATGACCGCCAACTTGATCGGTAAGTTGACTTGTCCTGGTTGCAAATGATATACTTGCTAATTTATTCAGGTGGTTTCTTCACCCGTCTCGAGGCCAGCCGCAAGTACCTCTTCGGCTGCTGCTCCGTATACGGAGTAACCAACGACTCCGTTGTCACCGGTGCGTTCGTCGTCCGTGGCCAGGAGGCTCTCCCCGCCTTCGACGTCGCTCCCGATGTCGAGAGCTACGAGTTCACCAAGCTCGACCCCACCAAGCCCGAGGACAAGGAGTTCGTCAACGACCAGTGGTCGTGGGACAAGCCCATCGAGGTCAACGGTAAGACCTACGAGTGGGCCGACGGCAAGGTGTTCAAGTAAACGCTTCGCTTTCTTTCTGAAGTGGTTGCTTTGATTTATGATGCGGATGATTTACGAACTGGCATGGGTAGGGATAGGATGACGGATGAGGATTCATGAGATCACGCTGGGCAGCCCTTGGTGGATCAGCGATACTGCCATGGCCCGTTAGAGGCTCAAAATGCTGCACAAGAAGTTCATGATACCCAACACATATTTTTGCCTTGATGCTGTGATGCCCTTTGTGCGTCTACTTTATTGTTTCGTATGCTAGACCAACATGCATGTGACGTCTTCTTCCACACAGGTGCCTTGTTGATTGCGCACTCAACAAGAGCTGGGAAATTGGTCTACCATGACACTGCGTTGCCTAGAAGCTGTCAGGTGTTCGCCAAACCCCAGATCTGGGCTCGGCCTGGGCGGGGCTAACAACAGTCGTGGCTTATCGAACTGAGCCTATCATTGGTTGAGAGATGGGCAAGGGAAGTAGCTCTAGCCAACCGCCGAAGCCGTCGAGAGCAAAGGCTGCACAAGACAGACGGCGCAGGCGGCGCGCATAAGGGGACATGCATGGCCTTTGATCCTCGAGTCCTCGATTTCCATTCTCTCGATCTCTGCGACCACAGGCGCCGAAAGTTGCGGTGCTGCAGCGGTACTAATACGGTGATATTTCGCATCGCAGCGCACAGCCGCGCTGCAGCTGCTACATCCAATCGGGGCAAACCTCCTACCTTGGAAGGAACAAGCAGCGCGTTCGTTCTGTCGTCATACCTGCAACAACAAACCGAGATCGCGTGCACACTTTTTCTTTCTTGTCGCGCAAGGAGAGAAAGATCTGGAGACGGGACCCGAAGACTAAGGCGACGCAATCGTTGCTCAGGGAAGTCCGGCCTCCTGCGTCGACTGTTGGTGGATCGGAATTCGGACGAACGAAGGAACGGACAGCCACATCATCTGTCGTTCACGCTGTGTAACGTAACGACTTGCGCTACGGGGACCTGAGAGCTCTAGCGACGAGAGGAGAGAGTTATTCGCCTTTTAAAGAATTGTTGCTGCTGCGCCAAAGGGGAATAGATATTGTTGCTTTCTCTAGGCGCCAACGGCAAATCGTGAGAACACGTGAGATTGAACTGCGGAAGTGGCTTTGTTAAAGAGCGGGGATATTGGACGTCTCGTAGCTGAGATAAGTTTCCTGCGATCGTTGCTTTGGGGATCGCAGGTCTACGTACGAGGTTGCGAAAAGACGAGACTGGAAACATCTGACAAGAGAGCTGGAAGAAAGGAAGAGCAGGAACGACAAGGGGATGAAAGAGGATAGTGGAAAAGTGGTGAGGAGGTCTTCTGGAAATGCAGGGGAACCTGCGATTCAAGTGATTTGTTTGGTAAGTGGTGGCTGTGTTTGTGGCTACTGATATGTCTAGGTGCATAGTCATGTACTTTACATGGGATGTCGCAATTTATACAGCATGACGGCCACTTATCTATCTCGCCATCAAAGCTAATACTAACAGGGCTCTGGAGGTGGACCAAGCGAAGACAATGTCACAGGCTTCCTCGTCCGATCGACCGCAACGAACTGGGCTAAGAATTCCGTCATAGCTGTAGATGCAGGCTCCCATCTTGCATCAATAACCCGAATACTTGGGAGGGATTTTCCACTCGTCTCTGACCCAGATCCACCATTACCGACCTCGCGGGCTAACAACGGCAATGGAAATGTAATTGACATACATACTGAGTCGCCGTCACCAGGCACCGCGCATGTCTCACTCTCCGATGATGACTCTGGGGCTGAGACACCTGATTCTGAGCACGAATTACCAGTTACGATCACCACACTGCAAAAAGGTGCATTCGCGGGTTTGCCTTTTCCTCATCAGAGCGCTAGAGCAAATGCGCTTCATGTTGTTAGGGAGCATATTTCGACATACCTCATCACCCATCCACATCTGGACCATGTGTCAGGCTTCGTCATCAATACAGCAGCTTTCCATAATACATCACGACCAAAGCGACTAGCAGCGCTGCCGTTCACTGTCAACGCCATCAAGAACCACATCTTTAATAACATCATTTGGCCTAACCTTACTGACGAAGATGGAGGGGTGGGCCTTGTGACGTTCCAGCGGCTTGCAGAAGGCGGTAACATTGCCCTGGGTGAAGGAAGTTCAAGAGGGTACATCGAGGTGTGTGATGGTCTTGGGGTCAAAGGCTTCAAAGTGAGTCATGGTCACTGTATGCAAGGACCAGGCCATGTACACCGCGGATCAAACGCCAACCTACTGGAGACATCAAGTTTACAGCACTCAAATACTTCTCAACCGTACGGACTATCAGACGGCCAAGAAGGTCGCTCAATGAGCTTCTCTGTAGCAACGCAAAGCGCACCCGGCACTCCCGGTTTTAACAGCAGCACAGAGGCCGGTCGACGAGCCAGCGGAGTTACAATCTCCCAGCCCCAGCAACCGCCATCCCAAGATCACTGTGTGATCGATTCAACCGCCTACTTTATCCGCGCAGAGTCCACTCTCACGACCCCGAAACGCGAAATCCTTATTTTCGGAGATGTTGAACCAGATTCTCTTTCTCTTTCGCCTCGCACACATCAGATCTGGAGCGAAGCAGCTCCCAAGATCGCCGCCGGTATATTGAAAGGCATATTTATAGAGGTTTCTTATACGAATGCTCAAGCTGATGCTGTCTTGTTCGGGCACCTAGCCCCACGCCACCTCCTCGAGGAACTTAGTAGCTTCGCCGAGATGGTAAAAGACAGTAAGAAGAAATACGAGCGCGAAAAAGAAGAGATGCGTCTGCAGAAGAAGAAAAAGCGAAAGCGAACCAGTGGCGATACAAACAATGCACTCCAACTCGACAGCCTCACCTCAGGCGAGAACGGTCGGAAAGCAAAAATGGGTGGTTATCTGGGCGGAGTGGGCAAAGGAATTGATTCCCCAATCTCGACGACGAACTACCATTCGCAGACTGATGACGAGGTTATGAGTGATCTTCCGCCTTCGAGAGGAGATACAGGGACGAATACTCCAATTCCCTTCCCTCCTCCACTTCAGCATCATCAGTCTTTACATTGCAACCAAATACAGGAACAGGGACAGGAACATCAAAATGGCACGGCCGAACCACAGCACTCCCACCCTTCAGCCCCAGCGGCACTCGGTCTCTCATCAGTCTCAGCGGATCATAACCGCGCCATACTATCTGCTGCTTTTGACGCTCCACTCAAAGGTGTCAAAATTGTCATTATCCATGTCAAGGATTCTTTCATGGATGGGCCGTTGGTTGGGGAACAGATATTGAGAGAGTTGAGAGAGGGGGAAGAGGTTTTGCAAGAGGCTGGAAAGGGTTTGGGATGCCAATTTGAGGTCAGTGCTGCGGGTGAGAGTTATTGGTTCTAGAGAGTGCTGGTTTTGTAAACGTAAGAGTTGGGTGGTGGAGTTGAAGCAAACTGGTTTGGCGTCTTAGGTACAGGCCTTGGCTTTCTTCTGGATTTTAAAATGAATCATGGGGTACGATAGGTAGGGTTAGGGTGGCATTCTGAGTATATGGGTTCAAGTGAGTTGGGCCTCCAGGTGGCTGCATATTACGAAGGAGCTTGTTCCATTTAGATTGTATCCTCGTGCGGCAACAGCTACCTCATAGGTATTTACTGTACCTCATAACAGAACACTCCTGGAAGAATGCAAGTGTATACCTCTAGGATATCTTCTCTAGGAAGAAAGTAAGGAATAGAGAATCATGATATGCAATTGTGTTTAACCAATGCTAGACTGACCTGTCGCATGCTCTTCCCTCTTCTACTCTACACACTTTTCTATCTCATGTACCGCCGGACTAGGAATGATCGGAGATTGTGTCGTATTGAACTCAGAGCAAAACTCGTTCAAAAAGTGCTCGTCGTGTCATAAGCTTATAGGCTAAGAAAGTGAAAGGCTGTGTATACTTCGAGGCAAGTTATATCACATAGCCTATAGAAGATGAGCGCTCTCGTAGGCACTCAACTCCCTGAGGTACTGTAAGATGTCATGTGACAAGACATCTTTTCCATTCTTCGTGGACACTCAATTCCCCTGCCATCCTAACCTCCATTCTATACCATACTCAACAACTCGATTGATGATTAAGAGCACACCCTGGCACATTAAAGTCAGCCTGATCCTCGAATCACTTGAATGTCTCTATCATGGTATCATGAACGTACCGGTATACCAATAAACCACCATCCTGCAGCCCACATCGCATTATCCATAGTATAAAACACTCCCACACATCCTGCAGCCCAAATATCAATAGTCGCACAGCTCATAATTCCTCTCGTCAGAGGTGAGAAGCGGTTACACGCTCGTGGACGGTGCCACAGGAAGTGGGTGAGGGCATGAAGGAGAATGTTTGCCTGTTGCGATTAGCTACCTAAGTAGGTGGCTCGCACCCGTAAGAGAGATAGGCAGTGACTCACAGGAATGAACACCGTAGTGATATAAATGATGTTAAGCTCATGTACGTTGAGTCCTCCGATAGTCATAACTGCACTGAATGCATAGCCTACCACGACGCCAGTAGCAATCCAGTAATACAGCAAATGATGCCTCCAGGATGATACTCTCCCAGTCCCTACGTTTGTATTCGGTTGCTGCATTGCAGATCCTCGACGTGCAGTCATGTGGCGTAAGGAGGAGGGCATATTGAGGTGGTGTGTAAATTAAGAAGTACACGAATGCGAAAACGTTGCAAACCCGCCAAAATTCAGATGATGATGCGGAGTAATCACTCGGAAAAGCTAGTGACCGCATTACACCTCTTTCGAGGACTGCATCTGCATCTGATTTGCTGTTTGCTGACCAGCGGACCTTTCCGTCATCGTTTCGTCCCTGAACCGGGCTGAGTAAGAGGTTACCGTGGTACTATCTGAGTTTACTACAAGTACTTTCAATGCACGACATCCCCTCAATCAGAGTATAAGCTTCGTACTCACATTGATTTTCCATATTCATATTATTGCTGAAATTCATGCGGAGCGTGTGGCACATGATGGGACTGAAGCGCGAGTTGAGTATAAGCAGCGAGAAATTACTTGCGCAATCAAAGACTTGTAGTGTAGCTAAGAATGTCAATTATATGTTTATTATGTAAGATTATCACTTCGTATGCTTTGTTAATAATCATTAATCACTCTCCATGCCTCCATCATCGGCGATCTAGTATGGCGTGTCAGCCTTTCTGATTGCCTCCCAATCCGTCGCAGTTTGGCCTGATGTTGCACCAGGAACGTCGTGTTGATGATGGCCATGAATAGCAGGATTACCATCCGTTCCGCCAATGCCAGTGCCGTAGCGCTCGGTGTTCATAGGCAAACCGGTGTGTGGCTCGGTGACCGTGTTGTTATGGTCCAGGTCGGAGACAGGATGCGCGCCGTACACACCCTTTCGAGTTTCGCTAGAAGGTATGTTAGAAATGTTTGATTGACGAGGATGGTAGATAGGACCTTACCGGTCGCCAGAGATCATACTTGGGTCACCGATCGGACCATCCACACCAATGTGTTCCTTCTTTCCTATGGAGCCATACGGATCAGTCTGGTGCTGCTGGTGCTCCATAGCTTCACGCGCGGGATGGCCCTTGGGTGGGTCCTTGTGCAAGAGGTGCTTGCCCTTCCAGCGTGGCGAGTCTGGGTTATCATCGCTGTAGTCCCTGGAGTGCCTGGGGCTGTAGTCTCGAGACTGGCGTGGTGAAGACTCAGGGCTAGCAGAAGACTTCTCTTTCTTGGACTTGTCACGGTGCAAGAATCCAAGAAGACCACCCTTCTTCTTCTCCTCGCCTTCATTCTCCTTTCCAAGCTCTTTCTCGCGCTGATTTTGCTCCTTGATCAGGCGTGCCTGCTCCTTCTCATGTTCTTTAGCCAGACGATGTTCGTCCTTCTCATGAGCTGCAAGAGCCTTGTCGTGCTTGTGGACTTCTTTGTCATGCTTATGCTGTTCCTTGTCAAGCCTGTGTTGTTCCTTCTCTTTTTCGTGAGCAATCTTCTTGAGGCGCTCTTCGGCTTCGCGCTCGTCTTGGTTCTGAGAGTTGACGTAGGCTGCGCCGCCCAACCCTGCTGCACCCACAGCGCCACCTAGAACAGCAGCGTTGCGCTTGTCGTGATTCTCATTTGTGGCATTAGCCCCCCACGGTTGAATCGTAGGGTCTTGAGCATGTGTGTTGTGTGGTGCGATGGTACCTGAGGTAGGGTATGATGCATCCGTGGCTGTCTCATGCATGGGATAAGAAGACTGCGTCGCGCCTTGAACTGGGTATGCAGGCTGATCGGAAGACGCAAAGTCTTGTTTTTGACGAAGAGGAAGTTGAGTTGTGTTATCGTTATGCTTGGATCCTGCATAAGCTCCGGCTCCTAATCCAGCGGCCGCAAGGCCTGCTCCACCCAGAGCAGCGTTCCTATTGATGTGGTCGTTGGGGTCAGTGCGATTCACATTGCTTTGAGTAGTAGGGTCGTTGTAGTCGTATTGAGTCCTTGATGAGATGGGGTTGGGAGCACGTGCGCTGGTAGCGGTAGGGTCGTATCTCTGGTCTGGCATAGAAGCTTCAGGTTGTGTCATCCTGTGATCGCCATATGCATTGATAGCTTCATATGCTCGCTGTGTCATGCTCTGGTTGCCATGGATATTTGTAGCTTCGTTTGCTCCTGGCTGTGTGATATTGTGATCCCGATACGCTTTTGTGGCTTCGTATGCTCCGTAACCGGCGGCGCCTGCACCTCCGACAACAGCAGCATCACGGCCATAGTGATGTCCACTTTGTTGACCAGCCTTTTCGTCGACCTTGGGATCCAGGCGGTTCAGTGTGTCTGACTGGTGCGGTCCGACTGTGGTGTGTCCCTTTTGCTTTGATGGGTCAGGTTTGACTCTTGGATCCACGATATTAGCAATGTTGCTGTCGTGCGGCCCGATCGTTCGCGAAGCAGGGTCCTCAGCCGTGGGTCCAACGTTGTGGTGTATCTGTTTACTAGGATCTGGTTGAACCCTAGGATCCATGATATTTGCAGCATTGCTGGAGTGAGGTCCGATAGTGTTTGAAGCTGGTCCACTGTCTGTATTGTCACGATTAGCAGCGTAGAGGCCACCAGCAGCAGCAGCAGCTCCGGCTCCTGCTAGGCCCGCATCACGACCATAATGGTGCTCAGGGTGCCTCTCTGGAACTGCGGTGGCGGCAGGTGCCTGACCAAGATTACTTGATGGCTGCTGAGCAGTTGTGTCTGAAATTGGCGCAGGAGCTCCTGTCGCGCCATAAAAGTTATCATGTCCTACAGGTTGAGCAGTTGAGGTGCCTGCGGTAGGAAGAGGCTTTGAGAAGTTTGAAGTTGGTTGAGGAGCAACGACACCGGATCCAGTACTGGAAGTATAAGAGGGGCCTTCAGGAGGCACTGCAGTGCCAGCGCTAGGAGTATCATTTCGGTTGAGGGCGTGGTGCATCCCGCCGGCTGCTGCGGCACCTGTGCCAAGTACTGCAGCATCACGACCATAGTGATGCTGTGAGCCAGCTGTCTGAGACGGATCATGGGAGACTGGAGGTCCAGAGATAGTTGAGCCGGCGCTAGGGGCTGCCTCAGTCTTGGCCTGTGGATCGAACCTCTGCTCGTCGAACTTTTGCTCCTCTAGCCTGGACTTATCACCCAAAACGCGAGGGTCGAGTACTTTACTACTGTATGGGCTGGACTCCTCGTAAAGAGGCTGACTACTACCAACGTCCTGGGCATCGTGCTTCTTTGAAGCTGTATGAGCGCCCAAACCCACAGCCCCAGCACCGAGGCCTCCGGCAATTGCAGCGTCGCGGCCATAGTTGTGGTCGTCAGCTGATTTTGGCCGAGGCTCTTCGAGTGTTCCCGTATGTCTAAGCTCGTGAGGCTCGCTTGTAGACGTAGTGTCCACAGAAGACTGAACGTGAGATGGATCCAATGTAGACGTAGGCTCTACATTCGATAGGTTTCCACTTGGTTCAGTGGAAACAGGTTGAATGACAGGAGCGTAATTAAGGAACGTTTTCTCGTCACTCGGTGTTGCGATATATTCGCCAGGAACGTGTCTATGCGACTCAAGTCGGGGATTTAGAGGTCGTTCACTGGTGCCTGACATCCCAGTCGTGGGAGTAGCAGCAATCGAAGAATGTGTAGTTCCAGATGGGTTGATGTCCTGAGCTCCATACTCGTGTCTCTGGGTAGACGGTGGAAGGTCAGAAGATCTCGAAGCAGCAACAGTCGCGGCAGCCAGAGCCTCGGGATGGTAATCAGATGTCGGCTGGCTTGGGATATTGCCTGTCTGGGTATTCGTCGTAGCAGCAGCTGGCGAAACATCTCCATATGTAGCCTGGCGAGTCTCGAGACCTCGATCCTGAACATCTCTCTCTTCTGACCGTGACAGTGTCTTGGAGGCGCCAATGGCAGTGGCAGCCGCTGCTGCTCCAGCCAGTCCTTCGCGTCCATAGTTGTCATGAACAGGACTCTCGCTATTATGTATACCAACCTGCTTCTCTTTTGTGCCTGGCTCACGCTCGCTGATTCCCTTGCTATGGACGGGCGAAATGTGTTCAGTCTGATGACGAGTGGAAGCGGGATCGTCATGAGGTTTTGTAACAACACCTCCAGCGAGAGGGAAAGATCGATCAGTATCCGCGGTGTAGCTCTCCTGTCGCAGAGTGTTCTCATAAGGTTGGTGCTCTGTGGTATAAGCAGGGTTAGAGCCTAATGGCCTACTGCCAGTCATGCCGGATTCTGCACACGGTCAATATATACGCGTCAAATAGTAGATTCAATCTACGTACGAGAATGTGTCTGGCCAGGGTTTACGCCCCTTCCTTCAGTCGAGCCAGCACTTCCAGGATCTCCACCTCCAACTACTTGGTCTTGACTCAGCTCCTGAGTAGGCATGTGCGTCGGCATGGCAGCATGTCCCTGATTCGCTCCCGCGCCAAATCCGATTACGCCGCTCTTGATGCTCGCAACGCTCGGTTCTTGGGCATGACCATGAGGATAGGCATCAGGGCGATGTGCACCTTCCGCAGCTGTGCCTGCATTCCCAAGTGGCTGCGAAGTCGTGGCGTGGTCTTGGGTCCTGCTGGGGTCGTATTGAGCGCCAGTTGCAGCTGTACTGGTAGTTCCAATGGGTGCATCTGTACCGACTTGCGCAGGTCTTCCGTGAGCATCATGTGCGTGGAGGCCGGCTGAACCGCTTGGCTGGGCTAGCTCTGTGTATGGGGCCCCACTGGTGGTCTTGATCTCGTATATTGGCTGTCCTGTATGTCCCGCAGTTGTATTCCGACCCTCGTTTCCGGCGCTCATCTGGTCGTAGATTGGGTGTTGCTGACTGGGATTGATATTAGCACAAGTCACAGTCGAAAGAGGGAAGCTCAAACCCGTCAGCAGTGGACGACGATGTCTGCGCATCGTGGGCGACAGTGTCATCTTTCTTGTGTCCGTGAAGGACGCTCTTGATCTTCTCCATGTTGTTGCTGATTAACTGCGATGATGCACACTGCAGCGGGAGGATGAGCTTGGAAGGCTCTAGTTGTATTCAAGGATCAGCTCAAGCGCGGTGCTAGAGTATGAGAAAGCAGGGCACAGCTCGTGAACTACACGACATGATGGCGTTTGTTGTAGCTAGGCAGCTTGACGCCGATGAGGTCATACAGATGGGGTAGCTGCAGGAGCTAGACGGCCGCCTTCCAATAGAACGGCCAGCTGCCGCGTTCCAGCCACGAACAGCCACGCCTTATGCCCATTGCAGCGGTTCGACCTGTCTACGGTGCAGTGTGAAGGTGTTGATGTAGCCAAAGCAAGTTGTTTGACATGCGGGGCAGCGTCATCCTGGTAAGCGATCACTTCGATTCGAGCCATGAGCCTCCGATTGAGGCTTCGGAGGATCCTCGGCAGACACACACGTGCGAGGATGACCAAGGTAGCCCCCCTCCATGGATTGGCAATGCTGCTCCATCCGGCATCATTGATTGACCACTGGGTGTATTTGATATCAAGACAGTCAATTTGCGTTGGCGGTGTGTACAAATATAGGGATGACTTCACCGATCGCGTCCCACACAAAAGTTACCCCACACTGTGTTGCGCAATTTCCGAGCACCTGACCATAACCCATTGAGGTAGGCCGGATGCAGGCACGCGGCGAGTGGACGGACGTGGGTGGGACGTCAGATCTTGACAGAAGTTCTGGCGGCAAAGGGTTCCAGTAGAGCGTCTAGGATGGGTCGTCCAGACAGACCCCAAGTTGCGCTGCGTATTGCTCGAATACGCTGCCGATGCCATCTGGAAGCTCGGCATGCAGTACCTCAACGCACCATCCCAACCACCTTCCGCAACCTGCGCTGCCACTATCCGACAGTCAGCGAATGAGGCCTGAGATTGCGCGAATTACGACGGTGGCAAGCCATGGATGCCACTCCCAACGGCAGTTCACCCTCCAACAGCTTAGCGCTCACCCACCAGCAGTCTGGCCCACCTTTGCACCTTTCGCTAGGAAACCCTCGGCCGACTGAACCCAGTTGCTTCACGCCGTCTGTTGCGCTTTTCGCGCCTGCTTCCATTCTAGAAAACTTCTACCGCCAGGCATGCATGCAGCAACCTAGTTTCTCAATAGCTGACCCCCCCTTCGCTCGTCGGTTCAGCGTCGTAGCGAGCCTCCGTCACTCCCAAGCCCAACATCGCGTTATTACAGTGCAGGCCGCGACCAAGCTTTGCACTTCTCCGCGTTTTCTTCTAGCCTGGCTGCGCGTTTCATCCGCCGCATCGCTGCCCATATACAACCCACCATCTTCCCCAGTGCACAGTGCCTGACCACTGGAGCGTCCCACCGCAGTTTCGGATACTCCATCTTTCGCCCAGCACTCGACCAGGGCTAGCTCAACTGCAGCGTCTGTGCCCCGACCCACTCCCTAATCAGCCTCACCCTGCTGCCGACATCATACCGGACCATCCTTCCGAGTGCCCTCTTCCTTCTTCTCCAACAACACTTTCACACTCCGTCAACATTCACACCATCACTCACACACGCCTACTTTAATCTTCCCCGCTATTCCTGTGCTGGCTTACACGTTCCGGTTCAACTATACTCTTCGCCCACAATGCCTGGCCACCTTCGCACTCGCTTAAAGCGCGTTCTTACTGCTGGCTCACACAAGAATGCAAAACCAGAGGAGCCAGAATCTGATTTCTACAAGCCTGGCGAGAAGATGCCTCCGCTAAAATACCGTCGCGCCGTCGATCCCGAACACAAGAAGAAACTCGAGGAATTCAGCTTTTCGACAGCATGGCGCCGGCACAGCAATGCCTCGCTATATTCACCCATGGGTAGCAGGCTACCGAGCCGTAGGAGTAGTTTCAGGAGACGCAGCCGCAGTCGTAGTATGCACCGAAGTCGGAGAGGAAGCTGCTCTTCAGACTACGATGCTGAAGAGTGGGTAGACAGCGGCATCGGAGCGAGCATCGCTGGTGACGACAGGCCCGCAAATATCAAAGAGGCCTCCGACGACGAAGGCGACGTGCTCAATGGTGTGTTTTATCTTACGTATATATGACCGATCTTTTACTGACGTGCCTAGTCGGTCTCTCTCGCAATCCAACCGAAGACCCTCGTGACGCTCGTCGACAAGCCGCTCGCCGCTCCAGTTCCGTTCAGCTAACATCGAGACCCGCCACTGGCTCCGACCGCACTCGTAATCCCTCACAACCCTTTTCAGCTGAAGAACTCGAGATCGCGCTACAAAAATCACACCTCGAGGCCACAAAAGAGGAGTCGGATAAGAGTGCCAACGAGAGTCCTTTTGAGGACTTTGACGACCCAAGCCCCTTTCTCAGACCGCGTGGTGGATCCATTTACGTACCATACAATGGTCAGGGCACACCTCCAAAGCTGCCTTTCTGGGGCACTGCGTACCCCTCATGTGACGACGCGCCCTCCGCTGGCCATTTCTCGAGACGGCCTTCTGTTTTCCTTGCTTCTGAGGATGGATGTTGCACACCGCAGTACGATCGCCGTGAATCGTTCTTCGTGCCAATGGATGCTCCAGGCCTAACGCAAGCACGTCGAACTTCCGTCTTCGTACCCGCTGACGACGAGTGTGTATGTCCTCCACCAGCTGCCGAAGCACCGAAACGCAAACCCCAGCCTTGTGCTCCATGTGATGCCATTGCCGCAATCCTCGCAAGGCCCGATTGATTTTCCTCTCTGCATTAGCGTTCATTTCACTGTCGATATTCGATTCATTCGGTCTGTACATATTGTCCATTGCATTTCTCTGGCGTTATCTCCATGTAAGAACCCTCTGATTGGTTCCATGTCTGCAAGCCAGGATTTGGCCTTTTCCTTCACGGGCTGGGATTACTTCATAGACTACATTGTCAATGGTTTTTCGTTCTTCATATCACATAACGAAATCTTCTACGGTCTCTGTCTCATCACATTTTTCTTACTACTCTTGAGCTCCGTCTCGTGCATATGTGCGATTACAAATGCACTCATAATACTCGAATAATTGATAATTCACGAGTTCACGAGTTCACTACATGGCTGCGCATTCAACAAACCTTCAAACCATGATTGCTGCGGCGGCAGTACGTGTTCAACGTTTAGTGCACCTGCGGTCTTCGGAGCCGCCCACCCACGCGCACATCCCATCCCAGCGATCATCGCCAACCAACTACAATTCATATGCAATGCATCGTCACTCGCTGAGCCTCACTCTAACAATCCCAGTCTCAGCATGCGAGAGAAAAAAGGACAATTCCCCAATGGCCATCAGACACAACAGATTCTCCTTGCAGAACACGCGTCGCATTGCGTCGTCGCGTCTTCTCCTTTACCGACAAATGGCGCGCGCGCGTGCGCGTGTGCGCGATTGATCAGCACGTTGTTCCTTTTCCCTTTGGCTGTGTCCCAGCGCGGCGGTAGGCACGTACTCCACCATATGCATTGCTGTTCAACCCGTGAGATTTTTTCCGCGGTGTCTGCCGCTTGCTCTCCGCATCGACGCGCACTCGGCCCTTTTCCATGCGTCGTTTTCGTGGGGTTGAGAGGTCGGTTCGGATGTTCAAAGCTTGCACACGTTATGCTAAAGACTATGCTTGATGCGTATAGTGTAGTATAGTACAGTACAGTATAATCCTAGACATGCACCAAATCCCGATATAGGTTTTTGGTTTGTGGAAGATCTGTACCACCAGTAGAAAACCGCCCGTTGAAGAAACCTACGATCCGGCTTTTTCTGAAAATGTCACGCCATGAATGCAGTTGTGCGGTCGGAATGAACAGTTGCCGATACTTTCCGCTCATTGAGACACACGGAACAGGATACCCCTTGACGCAATCTCTATTCGCGGGGCATTGGTTGGGGCTTTTCTTCCCATTCCATCATCCCGTCTATGGTGCGGAACAAATAGCGGGCGGATGGGAGAATGGAGGGGCAGCACAGAGCACTCCGCACGCGTAGGTAGGGCGGGATACCATTTACGTATAGGCCTTAGTCTCAATTTTGCCTCTCTCTGTTCGCTTGTTGGTGCGGTCAGTTCTGCCCCCACCCCGCGCTTGCTCACGACTCGGCGGACTGGGCAGATCATAGCTTCATGTAATGATATGCTCGGCGGCATCGCGGAACACGGACGTCATTACGTAGATGGACTTGGCTCTTGTGTCCGCTACGCCAACCGGTTTACTTACTTCTTGCGAGTTGTGCATTGTATGCTTGAGGCGAACTCACGATTCATGTCTAGGGCATATTGCGCATAGCATGAGTTATGCGGGTTGTACGTTCGAGTTGGTGATTAGTGATTCTTTTTGTTGAGACCCCAATTCGGATAGAGCGGGTGGGATGAGCGGGTGTGGGAATAAGGATTGAGGGAGGACACAAGGATGGTGGGGTGATGTAGGATGTAAGACATGTGTGTAGTTGGGTTGGATTGTGCCACCGGGAGAATGTCATTATGTAGCGTATGAGTGAACGAAGGCTTGGGTTACCTTCTTTGGTCTGCAAGGTACCTAGAGAGAAAGCCACGATACGACATGAAGATCGACTTGTACGCCTTGCTGCTTTGCAATGCATACGGGGCATCTTCGTGGACGAAAATAGCTGGAGTATCATGTGGAAATGAGTGAATGTTTCCTAGGTAGTATGGATGCATTGATACATGGCTAATAGTATAGGCGTGGTTGAGACATACAGCGCTAGGCTCGAAGTGATGTTACCTATTGTTGTACAAAGATTCATGATAACAACATAGGTGCGAGACAGAGATAAAAGATGTTTTTAGCTATGCGGGGTTATAGTCAAAGAGTCCTTGACCCTGTGCACTTATCCTGGTAGCTTGTTGATGACCTCAAGATCGGCAAGAAACACTGCATCAGATATCAATGTAATGAGAGGACCAGAAAACAAACGGAGACTTTCTGGTTCTCCTACCACTATCATCAACAAGAATCAAGATCGACGAAGTGTGAAG